TCCCCTCTTTTTTCTTCCTTTTTTTTTTTCACTCCTCCTCTCCTCCTCCTCCTCCTCCTCCTCCTCCTCCTCCTCTTCCTCTTCCTCTTCCTCTTCCTCCTCCTCCTCCTCCTCCTCCTCCACCTTCTCCTAGTGGCGCTGGGAGGCGCCCTGATGGCTCTCGGCCCTCGCGCGCGCGGCTAGGCAGGGGAGCTCGGTCGCGAGGCGCCTCGGCTGGGCGCTGGCCGGCGGGCCAGCCCGCTGGCCGCAGAGCGGCCAGGCGCGGTTCGGCCCTGCTCGGGCTACACCAGGACTTGGCCACGCGCTCGGCGAACCCCGAGCCGTACCCCCGCGGGCCATCGAATTGCCCGAATCGTGGATCGGCGAAGGCAAGGCTCGGAGCTCGCCGCCGCAGAGCGGCCAGGCTCGGCGAGGCACGGAGAGTCACCACCCACCAAACCAGCACAACTCAACCCGAGGGCCCCTGTGCGCCTTCCATTCCCAGTGGAAGGGGGGGCGTCCAGGAGAATTCAGCAACACGTATTGAACCCGTACCCTTCCCCAGCCCGAAATTCGGGTTTTCGGGTTGGGTTGGGATGGTCTGGTAGGTAGTCTGAGAGGTTGTCGGGGGCCTGGAGGTCGACACCAACACTAATATCGGCGGCGTGCCTCCATCCAGTGAAAATGATCCCGATCTCGGTGATGATGGTCATATTCTGGCATCCCCAGGATCATCTTCACATTCGGTGGATGCAACACCCAGTGTTGGTGCTGGTGCCCATTCTAAAGTTTCCACGAGGAGGGGCGAAGACCGACCCAGGGCTCGTTTCGATTCCTCCGATTCGATTCGATTCGATTTCGATGGCTTCCGATCCCGATTCGATTCGGCTTGAGATTTCGATTTGGGCTCCGATTTCTCATTGGAGGCCTACGAGCCTGCCGATTTCCGCCGATTCGACTTTTTCCGACTCGGTTGCCGATTTCCGCCGATCCGATTCAGTTCGATCGCCGATCCGATTTATCGATTCGATTCTGGGCTCTCCTGCCGACCCAGTCCTCCTCGAGTCGTGGCAACAAGTCGTGGCGGGTTTTTTTTTTCGTACTCTTGGCGCCTCTGGGTGCCCTCGCTGGGACTAGGGGCTGTCAAACAATGGCTTAGGATGAGAATCAGGAGGGAAAGAAACACACAGACACAATTAATCGTCGATTCCCAGGAAAATATGGGAAAATATGGGAAGTGGTGGGGAAGACAAAAACCCAGAAAATATGGGAAAATATGGGGGATCATTTTATTTGTGTGTATTTATTTGTGTGTCCTTGAGCTCCTTGAGTCATGTATAAATCATGGCGTCGGGGGTCTGGGACAGCAGCTCTGGACCATTTTGAACAGGACTCGCTGTCGGTAGCGCCGCGGGCGTGGACCACTTGAGACAAAAAGTCGCCTGCCCAACAGTAACCGCTACGGGTTTTGGACAACGTTGGCTGTTGGGCATCGTGCCCATTTCGGGCGTGCCGAGTGGTGGAGTAGGGTCGCGGACCCCTCTCCTCTCCTTCCCGGGGGTCTTGTGCCCCTCCTCCTCCTCCTTCTCCTACACTTCTCTGTGCTCGACCCCGGTGCCCTCCGACGTTCTGTCGCCGATTTGCGGCAGGAGTCCGTTCAGCTTCAGTCTCGCTCATTCGTGATGCTATGCCTCCCCCCGCCGTTCTCTCTTGCTCGTCCGTGCCCCCTCGTCTCCGCGGAAGACGTGTTTACACCGTACCGCGTCGGCGCCTCCTGAGGCGTCGTCGGTCATCGGCCCAGGAACCTGATGGTGCATAGGTCCAAGGCCCTGAGATCTGATATACTATGCGCCGCATCGCGTTGGAGCGAGGCCGGAAAGGAGTCCGAACGTGGTGCGGTGCACGAGCGCCGTTCTCGTATCGCCCTCCCCGAGGCGCAGTAGGGTGCCCGTCGGAGTGCCGCAGTGCCCGTCTCGGGGGGGGGGGCCTCGGCTCCAGCCTCGCCCCGTCCGCGGGCGCTTCGGCGCGCGGGGAGCCCTGGTCCGCCCTCCTCGATCTCGACCCCTCGTCACTCGCGCCTGCGCCACGTGTTGGAGTGTGAAGGCTGCGCACGATAGCTCCCAGACCTCCGCCGGTGCGTGGTTTTTTCATTCCCGACGCCCTCCCTCGGCTTCGGGCCCCCGGGGTCCGCTCTTCGGCGCCGCGCCCTCCCGATCCCGCCGCGTCGCCGGCCAGGAGCTCCGCAGGGTGGCCATGTACCTGCGCGGCCTCATCGAGTGCTGGAAGTCCGTCGGGTGGATCATGGTGCCCCCGAGCGGGAAGGGAGCCGGCCGCGGCGACCAGCAGCCGCTGGCGATGGAAGCAATGCGAGGGTCCAGCGATCCTCGGGGGGAGGGGGAGGAGGCGGAGGAGGAGGAGGAGGAGGGGGAGGAGGAGGAGGAGCAGGAGGAGGAGGAGGAGGAGGAGGAGGAGGAGGAAGAGGAGGAGGAGGAGGAGGAGGAGGGAGGAGGAGGAGGAGGGAGGAGGACGCTTTGCAGTGGCCTGTTTACGTCAGTCGTCTGGTGGGGCGGTGGTTCCTCGTGCAATCGGGCTCGCCGCGAGGCTGGCCCGGGCGAGAGCTGGACCCGCATCCGGCCTCGTGTCTCTCCGTCTCCTGGCCCTCGTGTGGCCGCGGTCGGCCACGCGCAGAGAGGGGCAGGGGGAGGGGGGAAGGCTTCCTAGAAGCATCCCTGCCTCTCAGAAGGCGCAGCCCTTGTCTGCAGATGCAGGGCTGGTGCCTTCTAAGGAGCAGCCTCCTTCTAAGAAACCGTCCCCCCTCCCCCCACCCCCCTGTGCGAGCAGCCAAGAGGGGGCACGCCAGCCCTCCACGTGCGTGTCAACGTGTGGCTTCCGATTGCTCCACACGTGAGCTCGGCCACGTGTGTTTCTGGCCTCCTGTGCCGCTCCCATTCCCTCTTGCAGCCTTTCTCCGCAGCCGTCCTCTTCTTTTCCTTGCTTGTCTGGTGCACAGTTCTTGACACTTCGCGTATTCCCACCCGCATGTCCGTGGTCGCCTTCCTCGAGCTCGTGGACAGCATGAATTTCGCCATTTTGGTGTTGCACCTCGACCGGTGATTCTCCCTTGTCTTCCACGTCTCCTGAGCCGCAGCGCAGCTCGCTCCTGTGTGCTCTTTCTTCGCTTCTTCCTCCGCGTTGTTCGCCTCGTTTTCCGCTTGTTTTCGTTCCCCCATCGTGCCGCGGAATTTAGGCCGTTGCTAGTCAGCCGCGTTTCTTGACGGCGCCCGGCATCCCGGCGCGCTTGCGAACGAAAAAGTGTTCCCACCCGCCCGCCCAGAAACAGTGCCCAGGCGAGTTGCCTCGATCTGAGACGTGTAGGAGCCAGCAGTGGAACAAAGAGGTGGGCAGCCGTCAGACCAAAGCTCAGGATCAGCCCGATCAGACCCAGGAGTCATCCATAATGCATTCTCTTACCTTTCGACATGGGGGCCTCTTGGCAGCTTGCTTGGGCCCTCTGGGGGCCATATTGGACGCCTTTGAGACTCTCCTGGGGCTCGCTTGGCGCTCTTTTGGGGCCCTCTTTGAGGCCAGCGATCAAAGATCGGGGGCCCTCAATAAGGGTCCCCCTATCGAAGCCCTCAATCATAGTTTCTCGGGGCTCTTTGGGGCCATCTTGAGGTCTCAAGCGCCAGTCCAGCGCGAAAAGGCAGGAAGGCAAACGTCATTGTTTCTTGTACGAGTTTGGAAAGCTGCTGGCCTTTCCGGAGATTTTCTGGGAGGCACCGTGGCCACTTGGAGCCATGTCGGGGCCTCGTGGAGTCATGCTGGGCGTTGTATTGGGAGCAAACCTTGACCATGTTGCGCTTTTTGTAGGCCAGGTTGAGCTATCCGACGCCATCTAGGAGTCATCTTGTGACCAGAGGGTGTGGGGGTCTCGATGACGCCTCCCCCGGAATCCCTGGCCGGTGACCGACACATCGCCTCTTGATGATCTTATGTGGCGCTCTTGGGCATTATTGTGCCGCCTTGGAACCCCTCTCGGGCCTTCTAGGGGCCCTCTTGGGCCATCTTGGAGTCATAGTGAGGTATGAGAAGCCCGTCGGAAGCTAAAGGATTTGAATGCAGTTACCAATTATTGTCTCCCGGCGGCGTTCTTGGAGGCATGTTGGAAACGATCTTGAGCCTCCTTGTGCCGTCTTGGAGGACATCTTGGGCTACCTGGGCCCCCTCTTGAGGCCATCCTGGGGCACCTTGGTCGCTCTTGACCGCTCGCGGCCTTTGTTCCCCCCTCCAGACCCAGGGGAGGAGGTGGGACGAAGAGGAGGAGGAGGAGGAGGAGGAGGAGGAGGAGGAGGAGGAGGAGGAGGAGGAGGAGGAGGAGGACACGGAGACGGACACGGTGACGGAAACGGAAACGGAGACGGAGGAGGAGGAGGAAGAGGAGGAGGAGGAGGAGGAGCAGGAGGAGGAAGAGGACAGGGGTGTATATTGTAATGGCCTCTGGCCAGTGCCGCCGATCCGGGGCGTTCACGATGCGTGTGGGAACGGACGATGACGACGACGACGACGACGACCGACGACCGGGTCAACGACGGACGATGATGACGACGACGTCCCCCCTCCCCCCGCTGCCCTCCCCGGTTTCTTGGACCCGCCTCCCCCCGCTTGAGCTCGACCACCCCCTCTGTCCCTGCTCGAGCTTCCTCCTTGGAACCCCCCCCCCGCTTGAGTTCGACCCCCTCCCCCCGTCCTCGCTCGAGCCCCCCCCCCTCCCCTCGATTCTTGCTTCCTTCTTGGAACCCCCCCCCGCTTGAGCTCGACCCCCCCCCCCGTCCTCGCTCGAGCTCCCCCCTCCCCCCCTCGATTCTTGGACCCCCCCCTCCCCGCGCTGACCCCCCCCCCCGCTTGAGCTCGACCCCCCCCCCTCCGTTCGACCCCCCCCGTCCTCGCTCGAGCTCCCCCCCCCCCCCTCTCGATTCTTGGACCCCCCCCCGCGCTGACCCCCCCCGCTTGAGCTCGACCCCCCCTCTCCGTCCCCGCTCGAGTTTCCTCCTTGGACCCCCCCCCCGTGCTTGAGCTCGACCCCCCCCCCCCGTCCTCGCTCGAGCTCCCCCCCCCCCCTCGATTCTTGGACCCCCCCACCCCCGCGCTGACCCCCCCACCCGTTGTTGCTGCTGCTGCTGTTGTTGTGGTTGTTGAAGTCTCATTTCTAGATGATGGTTATTGTTGATCCCCCCTTTGGTAACCATTCTGTGTTTCAATTGCACTGGACTCGCATGTTTTAATAAGGGAAAATGAGGGTTCACCTAACTTCGTTGTTGGGCCCCGAGCTAGAATGATAACGGCTCCCGCCGGATACTTCCTCACAGTTTGTTCCCAAATTGTGCTCTCGCGCGGGACGTCCCCACAATCTATACAGGAATCGCGCTCCCGCTGTGGACTTCCTCGCACTTCATTCAGACGCCGCGCCCTCGTCATTCAGGAGTCACGCTCTCGTTGTTAAATTTCCATACGATTTATTTGGGAATCGCGCTGTCGCTCGAGACTTCCTGCCATTCATGCAGGACGCACGCTTCAGCAACCCGCCTGCTCGACCTGGCCGCCTGTCGACCAGCCTGGGCTCGCCTTCCCGACCCGCCAGGTAGGGTCTACCCGCCCGATCTGCCCGTCTGGCTCTGCCACGTGTTTTCTGCTCCTAGCCCCCCTCCTGCTATTTTCTCTCGTTCTGCATCCTCCTCCCTCCCCCTTGTCCCTTCCTTCCATCCGTTTTCTCTTCCCCTGCCGTAGGGGCTGCACGAAATACACGTTGCAGTTAAGAGAGGTCTCTACCCCCAATGGGGTACGATCGAAGACGAATGGGGCGGGTATCGAGGGTTTGGTATCTACGTGTTGAGCGGTTCGCGAGCAGAGAAGACCGAACAGTATAATCATGCTTGTTGTTGATGCTGTTGCTGTCTTATTGTTGTTGATGCTTTTGAACTCTCACTACTGAAGAATAATCATTGCTGATCGCCCCCTCCGGTGACACATGTGTTTTTCAATTGAAGTGCCCCTCCGTGGGCTCGCACCCTGTTTTTTATCAGGGAAGGGCTTCCCTCTCAAACTGCGCCCCTGGCCCCGGGTTTGCAACAACAACGGCTCCCGCCTGGTACTTCCCCGCAATCTACTCAGGAATCGTGCTCTCGCGAGGGACTTCCTTGCAATGTATCCAAGAATCGCGTTCTCGCTTGTGATCCCCTCGCAATTTATTCAGACGCCACGCCCTCGCCATTCAGGAATCGCGCTCTCGCTTAGGAACTCTTCATTCTTTGCTTAGAAATTGCGCTCTCGCCCGAGATTTCCGGGCGAATTATGCAGGACTCACGCATTCGCGTAACATACGTTTTTAAATTGAAGTGCCCCTACCTGGGCTCGCACCTTGTTTTTTTTTATCAGGGAAGGTCTTCCCCCTCAAACTGCGCCCCTGGTCCTGGGTTTGCAACAACGGCTCCCGCCTGAAACTTCCTCGCAATTTACAAAGGAATCGCACTCTCGCGAGGGACTTCCTTGCAATGTATCCAAGAATCGCGCTCTTGCTTGTGATTCCTTAACAACGTATTCAGGCGCCACGCTCTCGAATCGCGCTCTCGCCTGGGACTTTTTCATTATTAACTTAGGAATCGCGCTCTCGCCCGAGACTTCCTGGCGAATTGTGCAGGATTTATGCATTCGCGTAAATACGTGTTTGTTCAATTGAAGTGCCCCTCCTGGGGCTCGCTTTGTTTTTACATCGCAAGGCATCCTGCTCAAACTGTGCCCCTGGCCCCCGGTTTAGAACAACAGCGGCATCCGCCTGATATCTCCCCGCAGTTTATTCCCAAATCGCGCTCTCGCCAGAGACCTGCTTATAGTTTATTCTAGGAATCACGCTTTCGTGTGGGACATCCTTGCAGTTTATTCTGACGCCACGCCCTCGACACTCAGGAATCACGCATGGCGCGCGCTTTAGCAACCCGCCTGCTCGACCTGGCCGTCTAGGTCCGCCTTCCGACCCGCCAGGTAGGGTCTACCATCCAGATCCGACCGTCTGGTTCTGCCACGTGTTTTCTGCTCCTAGACCCATCCTGCTATTTTCTCTCGTGCTCCATCCTCCCCCCTCCCCCTTATCCCTTCCCATCATCCGTCCTCTCGTCCCCTGCCGCAGGGGCTGCACGAACCACACGTTGCAGGTAAGAAAGATACACCCCCAATGGGGTACGATCGAAGACGAAGGTGGCGGGCATCGAGGGTTTAGGATCTACGTGTTGAGTGGCTCGCGAGAAGGGAAGAGCGAACAGTCTTAACATGCTTGTTGTCGTCGTTGTCGTTGTCGTTGTCGTTGTCGTTGTCGTTGTCGTTGTCGTTGTTGTTGGTGTTGTTGTTGTTGTTGAATTCCCAATTCGAAGTTATGACGGATGTTGATCCCCCATCTGGTGACCATTGTACTCTTCAACTAAAGTGCCCCCATGGGTTTTCGTAATTTGTGTTTCGCAAGGGACAACGAGGTGTCACCAGACTGGGCCCTTGGCCCTCAAGTTACAACAACAACAACAGCAACAACAACGGCTTCCGCATAACAGCCCCTCGCAGGTTATTGAGAAATCGCGCTCTCGCGCGGGATGTCCTCACAACTTATTCAGGAATCGCGCTCTCGCGTGAGACTTCCTCTGGATTTACTCAGACGCCGCGCCCTCGACACACGGGACTCTCGCTCGCGCCGTGGATTTTCCAAGATTTACTTGGAAATCGCGCTATCGCTCGAGACGGCCCCCTGATGCATGCAGGACGCACGCTTCAGCAACCCGCCTGCTCGACCTGGCCGCCTGTCAAACAGCCTGGGCTCGCCTTCCGGGCCCGCCAGGTAGGGTCTACCCGCCCGATCTGCCCGTCTGGTTCTGCCACATGATTTCTGCCCCTAGCCCCCTCTCCTGCTACTTTCCCTCGTACTCCCTCCTCCTTCCTCCCCCTTGTTCCTTCCTTCCATCCGTCTTCTCTTACCCTGCCTTAGGGGCTGCACGATATACACGTTGCAAATAAGAAAGATAGACCCCAAAGGGGACACGATCGAAGACGAAGGTGGCGGGTCTCGAAGGTTTGGGATATCTTGTAGGGACGGCACGCGAATATATAAAGATATTACAGTCTTAACATGCTGTTGCTGTGGTTGTTGTTGTTGTTGTTGTTGTTGTTGTTGTTGTGTGTTGTTTGTTGTTGTTGTTGCTGTTGTTGCTGCTGTTGTTGTTGTTGTTATTGTTGTTGTTGTTGTTGCTGCTGTTGTTGTTGTTGGTGTTGTTGTTGTTGTTGTTTTGTTGTTTTGTTGTGTTGTTGTTGTTTTGCTTGTGTTGTTGTGGTTGTTGCTGTGGTTGTAGTTATTGTGATTGTGGTTGTGGTTGTGATTGTTGTTGCTGATGGTGGTGATGCTGATGATGGTGGTGGTGGTGTTGTTGGTGGTGGTGTTGTATGTACAGGTTGTGCCCCCATCTTCCTTTTGGTTGGCTTTTGGCGCCTGTTCACCGTAGTCCCGTCACTCCATTGTTCCTCCCTGCTATCCGGGTCGGTGTTGGTCTTCTTGTCGTTCTATTTTGCTTAATTGGTCGCTCCCCTCGCCTTCCAGTCCCGGTTGGCTCATGGCACCTCCCACCTCACCTCACCGTAGTCTTGTCTTTCCACCGACCCTCCTGCCATCCAGTCCCCGATGCTTATGGCAGCTTACTGCTGAACCCTAAGTGGTCTCTGAGGGCTCGGTCGGGCTTGGACGCGGGCGCGGTTGCTGCTTTTCGACCCTCTACGCCCTGTCGCTGCGCGCAAGGCCACGGCGCCAAAAAGTGCGCGCGCGTGTGTGTGTGTGTGTGTGTGTGTGTGCGTGCGTGCGTGCGTGCGTGCGTGCGTGCGTGCGTGCGTGCGTGTGTGTGTGTGTGTGTGTGTGTGCCTGTGTGTGGTATCGACGATGTTCGGTCGCAGTGCGTACTTCCATCTGCTGCTCGCGCCTGAGGACCCTCTGCGCCGCTGACTTCGGAGGAGGAGGAGGAGGAGGAGAAAAAGTGTATGCGTGTATGCGCTTCGCTGCCCCTCGCCGCCCCGCTCTCGCCTCGCTGCCCCCCGCTGCCCCTCGCTGCCCCTCGCCGCCCAGCTTTGGCGCGCTTCGCCCCTCGCTGCCCCGCTCTCGCCTCGCCGCCCCTCGCTGCCCCGCCCCGCCTCGGCGCCACGCCCGGCGGCCGCCGCCCGCTCTCCTTCGCTGCCTCCGCCGCTCGCCAGCGCCTGCACGCCTGCCTCGCTGCCCCTCGGCGCCGCGGCGCCGCTCCCGGCCGCTGTCCCGTGAGGGGCCGGCCGTCTCTCCCTGCCCTCAAGCGTCCTCTCGCCGACGGGGTGCGCGCGCGGTTCTCCGCGCATGCCCTGGGCGCCATGGCGGCGCGCCCGACCGCGACGACCGCGAAGTAAGTGTGTGTGTGTGTGTGTGTGTATTCAAGTGAGTGTGTGTGTGTGTGCGTGTATGCATGTGTGCGTGCGTGCGTGCGTGCGTGCGTGTATGTTTGTTTGTGTGTGTATGTGTGTGCGTTTGCGTGTGTGTGTGTGTGCGTGTGTGATTTCTCCACCTCGACGCTGCGCGCGAAGCCGCGACCGCCCAAAAGTCTCTGTGTGTGCGTGTGTTGGGGGTGGTCGTCATGGTTTCGGGTTTGCCGCCGGTCCGGAGGGGAAGGGGGTGTATATTAAGGAGGCGCAGGTTTATACCTTCCAGGAAGGGAAAACAGTGGATTAAAAAAACGAACGCGTTGAACCACCTGCGCCCACAGTGCTGGTGGATTAACTCGGCAGCGGCCCAGCAAGTTCTGCAACGCTTCGTGGTCCGCTCGCGTCGCTGCGACAACAAACACAAACACCCAGCCTCCCGGTGCAGCTCCTATTCCTCTGTGGCTCCGAGGTGGTGCGCGGAAGCCATGGCCGAGCGCACCCGGACGGGCCGGATGTCCAGAACAACGCCATATGTCGATTCTCATGCGCAGTGCGTACCCCAAAGAGGTCTCGTCGTCGAGGGATCCTGGAGATACGAGCGCCCATTTTGGCACCCCATGAAGGAGGATCGTGGTCCTCGAAGGGGGGTGCCCACCCTGGCACACTGCCGCCCCAAGATAGGAGCATCCGCTTTAATCAAGCACGTCAGCCAGCATCCGTGTCACTCGGCCACGGGTGATTCGCCCTTCGAGATTGGGAGGCGAGCCCATAGCTAACCCCAACGCCAGCCCCGGGATAATAATGCATCCCCCCCTTCCCCCACATGTCTCTGTATCCGCGGGATTGGACGTGGTTCAATTGAAACAGCAGGCGGGGAGGCCGAACTTCATTATCCCCTCCAAAGTTCCCATCGTAGCTCTGATTGTGAGGATGTTTCAGGCAGAAAGCGATCCAGACATCCCAGCATCGATAGTTCCGGAACAAAATGTATTCTCCCGCCTGGGCCCCGAACTTTTATGATCCCTAGGTGAACCAGGTAATGGTTCGCCTGCCCGACGTGGCTGGCCACTTGGAGAAACGGAGACAAATCACACCGATGCGCTGGAAATTCGCAAGCATGAGGGGCGCTTGGCCCCAGACATCCGACCATTTTCTGTTACAGTGGAGACACATGCCAAGAAACACCCTGCTTGCCTCCAGGGTGCCCTGGGTTTCTTGTCTTCGATGGTTTTGCCACCGAAGGCGTGGCGTTCCCACACCAAACATCAATGGACGTCCTGGGGTCTCAGGGTTGGGCTTCTTGTGGAAGGTTTCTTATGGACTGGCCTCCGCTGTATTTGCTTATGCATGTATATACAACGGCCACGAGTTCCCGACCCTTTCCTCGGGCTCGTTTTTCGTCCCCGATCCATTCTTGATGGTCCCAGGGCTTGATCACGGGCCCCAGAGGCCGAGATCGAGGGACCACGCAAGGCCTGAACAAACGTCAAGGCGTCGGGGGCCAGGGGCTGCGTCGGAGGCGCCGCGAAGGGCAGGTGCTCTTCGTCATGGTGATAATCATCTTCGCCATCATCACCACGCAGCTCATCGGGCACAAAGCGAGGGAGTTCCCGGACCGCGGGGGCAGCGGGACACGCCCGCGAAGAGAGACCGGTGTGAGTCGGAAGGGCGACGAAAGATTGGATCAGAGGCGCTGGGCAAGGAGGAGGAGGAATGAGGAGGAGGAGAGAGGAGGAGAAGTAAAGAGGCTGAGGAGGAGGAGGAGGAGGATAAGGAGGAGGAGGAGGCGGAGGCGGAGGAGGAGGAGCCGGAGGAGGAGGAGGAGGGAGGAGGAGGAGGATGAGGTGGAGGAGGAGCATTCGGAGGAGGATGAGGAGAAGGAGGAGGAGGAAGAAGAAGGGGCAACACAGTATGAACAATGTTAATCATAAGAAGACGTAGTATACATTAATAGTAATAGAAGAAGCATGACCATATTTTGAACAACAACAGCACTATTACTAATAACACCAATGAGAATGCAACTAAGGCTAAGACTGGTAATACTAATAAGAAAACGAATAAGGGTAATAAACTTATGAGACGAGTACTATGAATAATGCAAGTCATACTGAGAGGACTCATAGGAATAACCCTCAGAGGAATATTGCTAACCATACGGATAATACAAAGCATACGGACAATACCAACAGCAACAGCACCAACACTATGTTTAACATGATGAATCTGATGCTTACTGCTACAACTACGACGACGACGACGACGACGACGACGACGACGACGACGACTACTACTACTACTGCGACTACTACGACTACTACTACTACTACTGCGACTACTACGGCTACTACTACTACTACTACTACTACTACTACGACTACGACTACGACTACTACTACTACTACTACTACTACTACTACTACTACTACTACTACTACGATTAACAATAGCAGTTGTACGAAGACAAATAGTAATATTGTTATTGCTACTAACAGTCGTAACATTCAGCCGAGGACTACTAGTATCACTAATCGTGCGACTAATCCATTATCGTGGGTAATTTACGAATTATACACACAAGCATGCGGCTATCATTAATAAGGCTAGTAGCAATACTGCAACTTATTTATTTTTCCTTATTCTTCTTCCTCTGCGCCCGGGGGCCTGGCCGCGGGCCCCGCGGCGCCGTGGGAGCCGCTGGCTTCGCGAACCGCTGGTTTCGCCCAGCTAGTTTCGCCGACGGCTGGTTTCGCCGACGGCTGATCTGGTCAACGCTGGCTTCGCCCAGCTGGCTTCGCCGACACGCCCAGCGGACTTCGCCGACGCGCCCAGCTGGTCTGGCCGACGCTGGTCTCGCGAAGCCGGTTTCGCCGACACGCCCGCTGGCGTCGCCCGGGTGGTTGCACCGTCCGTGCTGGCAAGCCCGCCGCCCGCCTTCATGTCCCGCCCGCCCGTCAGGGTCCCGCCCGCCCGACCCGCCCGTTGGGATCCCACCCGCCCGACCCGCCCGTCGGAGTCACCAGCCCCAGCGAAACCAGCCGTCGGCGAAACCAGCCCCAGCGAAGCCAGCGGCCCGCGAGACCCAACGGGCGAAGCCAGCGCCAGAGAAGCCAGTCCGTGCTCGGGGCCGGGAGGAACCCCGTCCCGTGGGAGAGGCCAGCAGACCCCGGGATGGGTCAAGCTGTGCCGAGCGGGACCCCGCCCCGTGTGAGAGGCCAGACCTCGTTCCGTGCTAGAGGCCAGACCCTGGGACGGGTCAGGGTAGATCCGTTCCAGAGCGTTCCGGAGCGCTCTCAGAGCGCTTTAGAGCACTCTCAGAAGCCCGCAGCGCCTGAGACGTTCTCCCAAATCGCCAGATCCCAAAGGTTTCCGATTTATCCTTGCCCGACTTTATCCTCGCCCTGGCTTCTTGGTATTCTAAGTAAGAGCGTCTCAGAGGGCTGAAGGCCTTCTGAGCCTTCTTGAGAAAGCCCGGCGCGCCGCCGACCACAGAGGGAGGCCTCGCCGCCGGCGCCCGAGACATCCTCCAGAGCCGCGGGATCCCAGACATCCGGCCGCCGCAGTTTCTTCGATCCGTGGGCCCCGGAGGTCCGGACCTTTTCCCCAGGGCCGGTTCTTCGGCCCGAGTCGTTCTGTTGACGCGACGCTCCCAAGGCCCTGCCTGGGCCCCTGGAGGCCGAAAACTGGCCAAAACCCGCCGCTCCAAGTTTTCTGAGGCGCCAGATCTCTGGGATCCCCGAGATTCTCGCTCTACCCTCGCCCGATCTTGGCCTCGTCCTGACTTCGCGTCTCGGGAGGCGGGCCGGGACTCGGGGAGGGAGCGGGGGAGCGCCGCGGAAGGCTCGAGGAGGGGCGCGGGGGGGGCCGAAGGGGGGCTCGAGGCTCGAGGAGTGGGGGGGGAGGGCTTCCGAGCTGAGGCTCGAGGATCGGGCTTCCTAGGTTTTAAGTCGGGCGCGTCCCTCTACAGCAGGAATGTTCAGAAATAGTCAACAAAAATAGTCTGTGAACGATTTTCCGTTATTTCTGGCAACTTTTGCATATTTTTTTGGCATTTGTTTCCAAGGAGGAGGGATCGGGGCTCGAGGAGGGGGGATCCAGGCCCGAGGAGCTGAGGGGGGGGGTCTTCTGGGGCTCGGTGGGGCCCTCCGAGAGGCCATAGGGTCGTCAGAAGCCCCCCCGTCCCAGCGAGAGGGAGGTCTGGGTCCCTCCCGCCTCGCCTCCCTCCTCGCCCCCTCTTCTTCCTCCTCCTCCTTTTCCTCCTCCTCCTCCTGCTCCTCCTCCTCCTCCTCGCACAATGTAGAGACGGGTCACGGTCAGTGGGGGGAAATGGGACCAGCATGCAAGGTACTACGCGATTAACACGGCAGATGAGAATACACTACCACCTCCACCGATCATACTCGGATTCCACAGGTGATCTGGTTCAGCGACGGCCTAGGTGCGCAATGTAGCGGGGTTTCTCGGAATGCGTAGCACGGGGAGGCCACGCATGGCCTTCACGGGCAGCAGCCAGCTATGGCCTTGCGTGCGCTGCAACAAGGGTTTCGGGTACTACAAGATGATCGAGAGCTACAGGGAACACGCAAGAAATGAAGCTGGCCATGAAACAGATCAAGGAGGCAAAGGCAGTCAATGTAAGAGAGTGTGCGTCGACTGCGAGCTGGAGCTGGGGCAGGAGGAGTGGGAATAGTGGGGTGGTGAAGAAAGGACGCCGCATGGAGAAGAGAAGTATTTTTCGAGAGAGCAGGTTTGCCGAGAACAGAAGAGGAACACACAAGGAGCCGCGTGGTCAGCCCAAGCCTTGGAGCATATCAAAGCAGCGCAAGCGCTCCTGGCGGAAGAAGAAGGCCCACAGAAAAAATACAAGCCTCGCGCTGTAAGGAACAAGTTGGCCCTGGAGAAGTCAAAAGGAGATGGCAGAGGCGCTGCTGGAGGGCATCGCAATGAATGGGGGCATCTTTGCAGCCTTTAGCAGAGTAGGAAAAACATGACAGAGGCTTTACGCTGCGCAACGGATTACGATTTTCTGCTCAACAGGCACATGGCCATGGACACCAATGACGAATATGCACTGACGGCGGCAAAACAAGAGTTGGAGGAAAAAGAGAAAGAGCTGCACGGGATGGGCGGCTACAAGACGGCGAAGAACATGTGAGAAAAAGCAGTCGGCGTGCTTCAAGGCGCTGGACTTCGTGGACAAGTGGAGCGACAACGTGCAGCTGTTCAACGTATGCTGGAGGGTCGCAGGATGGGGCGCAAAGAGGGGCGGAGCCTGCTCGTGCGGGCTTGCCTTCCCGAACAAGTTATGGTGGAGAGGCCCCAGCCCTGGCTCGAGAGGGGGCACGTGACAGTTCTGGTGCAAAGTGGGCTGGTCACAGCTCGTCAAGGCGCAGGAAAGCCACCCCGAAGATGAGTTCATGAAAGGGTGGGTGGACAAGATGAAGGGCGCGTTCGGCGATGACTGCGAGGGGCGGCCAGACGTCGGGCGCAAGTCGAAGTTCCTCCCGTGCAAGTGTGGGCCGTCAACGGTGGTGGAGCTGAAAGTGGGAAATGGCTGGGGGGCGCTCGTAGCGGAAAGGTTGCCGCGGCAGCTAGACGACGCCATCAAGGAGTGCCGCTACCAGTTCTACGGCGCCGCCCAGAAAATGAACCCAGATGAGCTTTTCGAGCTGATCCCCGTGTCCTTCCCGATGACGCACAAGGCCAGAGGATGCGATCTCATCGCAGGGCACCCTGTGGACGCGTGGGAACAGGGCAGGGGGGAAGGCCTTCACTGTGCAGAGCTGGCGCGAGCTGGCGCTGAAGATTTCGAAGAACGACGAAGAGAACCTCCACGAAGTCATGAAGGTCGCCTTGAAGTTGCTGGGTATCGAGGACAACCCAGACCCAGAGGAAGTAACGAGGCCCTAATAGTGCCAGAAGCTACGGGGCAGCACGCCGACCCCGCTGGGAGGCACCGAGATCTTCGAGGACAAGTTCGGCTACCCCAAGTCGGAGGAGACGACGGCGGTTAGCTCCTCCAGCGGCCGCCAGTGCGAGCATTCACCGAAGCCCACTTGAAAGCCAAGATATGCGTTCGCGAGGTTTTCTCGGAGTGCTACTCTGGGCAAGATGGACGAGCCCACAGGCAGCCGAGAGATGCATTGGCGAGGTTTTCTCGGAGTGTTATTCCTAGGCAAACAGGATGGGCAATCACGGAGTGCTCGCGCTGTCATCGCAAGGGGGGGTATTTTTCGCAGCGCCGACAGGTACATTACTGCAGGGAGTTGGGTGAGAAAAAAAGAGATCAACGCGAAGTCCACCAGAGTGTTTCCTCGATGGGCCCACCTACAACATACCAGACTAGTTGTATGCTCTACCCCACGTGCACTTCGATGGGAGAGCAGTGGGATACTACAACAGGGTATCAGAGTACAGATACGACAACGCGTGGGACAACTATCGGCCAGATCGAGGCGAAAGAGAAGTGAGCCGAGCGGGAGAGGAGATAATACATTAACACCAGTAGGGTCACCAGGCCCCCCAACAACACTTTGGGAACGCGGGCGTCCCGACCTTCCCCCCTCCTCCTTTTGGAGTTGTCGTGTCGTCGTCTCTTCCACCCCTTGCTTGG